ACTTTATCAGAAAGGTTTTCTGTCTAATGATAGCAATCTTGTTGCTTGCTCTTTAGAATAGAAAAATGTAACTTTTATACCACCTACTGGCTTTATTGTCTATTATTAATACACCAGATAACAGAAACATCATAAACAGGGACCAGTTAATCGAGGAAGTCAGATGAGAAATTCTGATCGCAATCAGCCGCACTAAGAACTGTCATTGGCATTAAAACGTGATATAATAATCACATAGCCGTACATAAGATGTTCCGGTATAAGTGTTCCTCCTTTATTTTTTCATCGAACTCTTTATAAATACAGAGATTTGGCACAAATTTTCTATCCGAATGAACAAAGCGGAAAAGAACTGTACATTAACACACAGAATTTAGGAGGGAAACGAATTGAATATTATATTTGGAGGAAGAGGTTAGGTATTATACAATATTAATCGATGCTGTTGATATATTTTCGAGAATCATTTTATCTGAATCTATTATTAAACACTGTTGTCTTTTAAAACGATACGATCAATTAATCCTCCTTCGTAATTACTTTTATGTATTTTGACATAATTAATCGTTATGAATACGGCCTTGTTAACCTGTACTTTGTTTTATTTCCCGCGAATAGCTTCCTAATATCTGCCGATGATCTCGAACTTCAAAGATAGATATCATGGCATATACCGAGGTCATACGCCGCACGTATTATAACAATCGTGCCATCTATTTTTAACCTCGTCTAATGCTCTGCTGATAAGCCGCACCCACGGAAGTGGACAGTCGATAACAACTCACTGTTAATGCTTTCTCTCACGTTTAACAAATGTAAGGCGCGCTTGTCAATTCGTTGGCTTTAATGATCAACGATGACGCGAAATCGTTTAGTACGTGTGGAGTACGTCGACACAGTTTGATTGTTCGTTGACGCTCAATTATAATTACTCTGACGTGTTTTTTTCTTTACAGGAAAAAGAATTACAGAAATTCATTAAGCATTTCTGGAAATTCTAAAAAGGAAAATCGATTAATGCAAAAATCCCCAAAGAAGTGTAGAAGCGTTCCAGGTAATACCTTGTCATCTTTCGTCGAAGAATATGAAAAAAAGGTTCCAAATTTCGAACACGTCATTTATATTTAAATGCATAAGTGACACGTTATTTACGGTTAATATTAACAGCTTCAATAGTCAATTTGTATTACAATTTCGTACCGTAACAAAAGTGACTGAAACATTCTTCATACATCCACGTTAATTTTAAATATATGTCATCATTTATTTATAATGTATCATAATTTATAATTGCGAATAAAACAAGTAATTTATTCTGTCTTACGTGACATAACTTGTTGTTGTTACTTCATTATGCAAGATATCGTTCATCGCGACTATATTCAGAATGCAGCTGCAATAAAAAATATTGATTTACTTATGATACAACAGATCGAGCACCTGCCGCGAATGCAAAGACTTGTTGAACCTTTTTATTATTACTTGAACTAATTTTACTGTGTAATGCGTCACTGCACAATTTGTACAATGAGTAATAAGAAAAACACAAAATACATTTGTTCGATAGAAGAATTATCTCGAGTATTTACTGTAGAGAGTGTTTCTTTTGATTGCACACCACACCTGCGAAAAAGGATCAGAGTTCCTTCTCCTATCGTTACTTCCAAATTACTGATTAGATAAAATGATATACATACATTGAAATCTGATTAATGTGTGTAATGTAGAATGGTTATTTGCACTTCTTTTCATCCTTTGAAATTACACAAAGAGAAGTCCCGCGATTATTTTACGAAGAAAAAATTATAAAGTTAATAACAAATATTTTCCCAAATTAAACAAAAGAATTACAATACGGACAAGTGGTTAAGGAATGAATGTAAAGCAGATGATAACCCTGAGCATGGACATTGGAAACAGTAATCACCGTGATTAACGTGCTTCTTAATGACTATCGTGGTTGGCGCTATGTTAAAACTTTCACGTAGATTCTCGTTCCTCAGACGTTATTTGTCCAAGATGTCATGAAGTGAAATAAAAACTGTATCCTTCTGGGAACACGTATGCAGCAAAAAGGTAGTAAATAGGTACCAGAGCATTTCACCATGAATCACGAAGACAAAAGTATAATTCAATTTTCGAAAATAATATGATTGAGTTCGTAATAAATACTTTGCAGAACATGAGATACTTATGTAGTTTTAATAAATTGTTACCACTAATAAATCACCGAGCAAAATTTTCCGTTGCATTACAAAATAAAGGAAATGTTAAGTACGTTTAAATATCCAAAAAATACCACCTTTGCAAACAATACATATGTAGCAATAAATTCTACTTTATCAGAGAACATTTGTTGATGATGACGTTTATACATTATTTACCTTTTATTATCTTCCTGCGTTATAAATCTAGTACATTGTAAATATTTGTATGATTTTAGATGCGTTTCTGTAAATAAAAAATGTTTTGAATGCAATAGTAGTTACTTTCTTTTTTCCTAATTATGTCCTATTATATAAAAGAAATGATTGGTTAAATAGTATTTGTATTTCAGATTATGTTAAAATTATTGGGAAACATTAGCAAAAATGATTAAATATTATTATATCCTGAATTAAAAATAAACAATTTAGGAGAAAAATTAAAATATACTAACATATTTGAAGATTTTATTATATACAAAGTTATATTATAAATGTGCGAGATCATTATTAATGGACATACAAGAATATGCGTATGATAAAAATAACGTGACCACCTAGTTACATGTGTTAATGACTAAATGTCACTAGCATTAAGCACATTTTCATGAAGCGGAAGTTCTAGTGAATATTCTGTTAATTGTAAACTGCATTTTCATGTGGATGTACTTTTATGATTTAGAAATAATTGGAGGTGTGCTATCTTATAACTTTACCAATATAAAGATTGGTAAAAACGGAATTCGGTCCTCTGCTGAAATTTTTACACATTTAATTGGATGTTATTGTGACGTGCACGAAAAACGCTTATGTGATACTGCAAAGATAATCCTCGTCCTCAAATACATGAAATAAAATATAGTGAAAATCTAAAGAGGTTTTCGAGGATAACTCATTGTTAGATTTCGACGCTGCACGATGGATTCCATTCCCAGAACGCACGAAGGTTTGTTTGTTGTGAATGGAATTCTTTTGCCATTTAAGATTGCAATTATATATTATTTGTAGCTATTGCTTGCAATCTTAATTGTTTGTTTAATTACTTCGCTGCATACTTAAGAATTTAATGACCCTTATCTAAGCTGCTTATATTAAAGTTGTTAATGTAACAAAAAATATACATGCGAATTCAATGCTTTTATTACCCTTTTCTTGCATGCTTTCAGTTGCAATCTTATTTAAGAACCTTATTTATTTTCACATTATGTTACTTTAATGTTAATGTGATTGTTACTTAAAGTAATTTGTTGTGTTGTTCATTTATATAATGCCAATTAATATTAATAATTTTTAGATATTGAAGCACAAATAAGAGAAATACAATCAAAGAAAAAAGAAATTCAAAATGCATCAGCAGAAAAAGATCAAGTAGGGCTAGGAAAAACTGGTTTTTATGATCAAGATATTTATGATGGAAGTAATAATAAATATGAAGGCTATGTTACATCAATTGCAGCTAATGATGAAATTGAGGTAATTTTATTTTTTAGTATAATTTTAATTTTTGCTTTAATATAATACTAAGTACATATATTATATTTTTAAGGATGAAGATTATGAGCCAACAACTTTTAGTACTAATAAAAGACCAGGGTATACTGCACCGGCAGCATTGCTCAATGATGTTTTGATAATGTTCTATTTTGTTATTGTTTAGAGTGAAAAAGATTATGATCCGTTCGCGGACAGACGACGACCCACCATAGCAGATAGAGAGGATGAATATAGGCAAAAAAGGCGCAGAATGATTATATCACCTGAGCGTGTTGATCCTTTTGCAGAAGGTTGGTATTTTTCTCTTTTAATTTAAACAATTTGAAAACAAAACAGGTAACTAGATATTAAGTGTGTTTATATATTATTATTCCTGTTCATATTTTGGAGCAATGTAATACAGTAAATAATTATTGTCTGTTCTATTTCTTACATAAGTATAATTCATATTATCCATTTATATTGTTTTTGTAATATTTTAAAAATTATTATTAATATGATTAAATATACCTAATTACATACCAATTATATTGCAACAAAATATATGCACAATGAAGCTTCTATCACTACAGTTTATAGGAAATTAAGGTCATATTAAATATATTTCATCATATCACAAAGAGTCAACTTGATTTTGATGTAATAAAAATTAGGTCTGATATTTGTTTTATACTGCTTGTTTCTACATAGTTAAATAGAGAAATAAGTCAAGTTGACTTTTAAACATCAATTCATGATTCTATACAAATGATTATAAAACAAAATGTTACCAAATTTTAATAGTTATATAATAATAATATTGATTTCTACTTTTTATGATTTTTTATTTCTGTTTTATTACTTTTATAAAAAATGAAAAAAAGGTATCTAAATTCGTTATTTTACTTAACTTTATGAACAATTAATAAGATGAATTTTTTAATCTACTGAATAATTTATAACCAATCAATACGAGAATTTTACTTCAATTTTGTTATAATATACTTTTCATTTATCATACATTGCATCTTTGACATAAATTAATTCAATGTTTCATAAATCAAAATGTTTCCATTAAATAATATGAGAATTGTATGTTTCTTAGATAAACCTGTATATACATATTCAAAGAAAATTATAAAATGAAAATATTACAGCAAACAAAAGCTACTTTTAATGTTTACAAATTTTAGTTTATGCAATTTCAATTTGTGTAATTAATATTTAATTTTTTTATAAATACTTATTAAGTAGGAGATTTTTATTGCTGTAGTATTATCAACTATGATAACTGAGGCAAGTTTTTAGTAAAAAGTTAAAAATACTACAAGATGTGTGAAAATTAAATCACATTAGAATTATTGAGAAGTACAATGTTTTTACATAAGTTTTCAAGATGCTATTAAATACTTTTCATTATACTTTGTTAAAGAAAACATGAAAAATTTGTTTTAGACATTACTTCAGTTGTTAGTAGTTAATAGGTTTAAGATTTCTTTATGCTTAGATTATGGAAGCGTTGAGAAATAAATAAGACTGGCTTGAATGAAGAGTGAATGTGATTCTTTCAAATAAATACTAATGTATAAATTTTTTTCCAATCTTAGTGACGGTCTGCACATTTGGAATCATCTGCTTACCGAGGATACTATGTCGAAGGTTAAGCGAGATTGAATTGTCACAGAACATTAGAGTCACGTCGTATAATCGATACAATGAGACTTTTTCTCCATTAAATTATAATTTCTTAAGTATTTCTTTCTTCATAGACTTTTTATTTACTATTTTGATTGCTTCAATTTGTGATATGTATATGTCGCTAAATTCTCATTGTATCACACATTTCTCGTGAAACGTAAATATTGAAAAATAGAATGAGTGATTGGTGTGCAAATATTATTAATAACAAGAATGAGTTGATTTTTAGATGGCTAAAGTTTTTTTCGATGTGGAAGACATGAGCAGGACTATGCTCCCTATGGCACCAAATTTTCACGTACGTATGCTATATGCCATCTGCTGTTGCAGCTCTCTAAAAACCCGTTGTGCAATTAACGCGACATCTTATTCACGGTTTATTCTTACATTTATCTCAAACTGTTTTATTGTCGTTTAATTTGATGTTATATGCAACGTGGAAATGAGAGTGAATTCAGTAGTTTACTTAGAATATACACAAATATTCTAAGGGCATTTTAATAATAAATATTATTATAAAATGGCTAGGTATGTTCAGAAGTTTTTGAAAGTTTAAGCATTCATTGAACAAGTATCTAATGGTTGCGCTTTGCGTGACTTTTGGTTCCTGATTACAGGTGGTAAGACTCCAGACATCGGTTCTAGGACGTATACCGAGATTATGCGGGAACAGTTATTGAAAGGAGAAGAAACAGAGGTACACAAACAGCGATTGTGCTTATCTTCTTTAATTGACTATAAGTAAATAATTAAAATATTTGCATATTTATGCTTGCAGTTAAGAAAGAAACTAGCAGAAAAAGCCAAAGAAGGAACATTAAAAGCAAACGGTGAACCTAAACCTGCACCTAAAAAAAGAGGTCGTTGGGATCAAACAGATGATGCTCCAACACCAAAGAAACCAACTGGTACTACAGCAACTCCAACATCTTGGGATAATGCGGATGTAAATAAACAAATATTTAAAAAAATATTTTTAAGATTGTAGAAGTATTAAATTTAAATTCTCTTTTTAAAATGTTAACAGGTAACACCAGCTGCGATTAGATGGGACGAAACACCTGGACATGGTAAGGGCGGAGAAACTCCTGGTGCGACACCAGGCGTAAGTACAAGAATGTGGGATGCTACTCCAGGACATGCAACACCTGGTGCAGCTACTCCTGGTAGAGAAACTCCATCTCATGAGAAAACTGTTTCAAGTCGTAGAAATCGTTGGGATGAAACGCCAAAAACCGAACGTGGTAAATTTATATTAATATTACTAAATAACTAATAACATATTACAGATGAATAGCTAATAACAAATATCTTATTTTAAATCAGAAACACCTGGTCATAGTAGCGGTTGGGCAGAAACTCCAAGGACAGATCGAGTTGCGGGAGATTTAATTCAGGAAACTCCAACACCTTCTGCCAGCAAACGTCGAAGTCGATGGGATGAAACACCTTCGAATCAAACGCCTGGATCTATGACGCCACAAACTCCGGCAACTCCTCTTACAACACCGCATCAAACTTCTATTTTAACACCTAGCGGTGTAACACCGACGGGACCCAAAGCTATGGGACTTGCTACTCCAACACCAGGACATTTAATGTCAATGACACCGGAACAACTTCAGGCATATCGTTGGGAACGAGAAATTGATGAGAGAAATAGGCCACTTTCAGATGATGAATTGGATGCATTGTTTCCACCTGGATATAAAGTTTTACAGCCGCCTGCGGGTAAATCGTGGAAACATTGTGTACTTTAAATTTAAAATTATATATTTTATAATTGGA